GGGCGTTTGCTTCCGGGGCTTGGCGGGGCGTTTGCTTCCGGGGTTTGGCGGGGCCGTTGTTTCTGGCTGCGGCAGGTGCACTGAGTCTCCGCGACGCCCTGTGTCCTCCGCTCCTGCAGGTCCGGCCTGTGTTTCTGTGACCTGCAGGTACCGGGAGAGACACGGCTAGGACGCCGGGACCCCTGGAAGGCTGGAAATGGTGAGAGCGCCGGCCCGACGCCCGAGAGAGGAGTTGGGGGTGGCTGGAAACGGTCCGAAGTGGCCGTGGCGGACAGGGGCCCCCGCAGTCGGCTCCAGAGTCCGCGGCCCCGAGTCGTCCTTGGCACAGCTCGGCCCTCAGTCCTTTTCAGCCGTAAGATGGCGGCTGGGCTGACAGCCGGTACCCCGGGCGTCCTGTCTCCTCCTGCGCGGTGACGGCGCCCCGGCCCGGTGTCTTCCCTGCGCGGTGACGGCGCCCCGGCCCGGAGTCCTCCCTGCGCGGTGACGGCGCCCCGGCCCGGTGCCTTCCCTGCGCGGTGACGGCGCCCCGGCCCGGTGTCCTCCCTGCGCGGTGGCCGCGCCCCGGCCTGGAGCCCTCCCACGGCAGCTCTGCATCCGCAGCGCCGCTTGTCTTTTCGATTGTGTCCCGGTACGGTCGTCAGGGGAGAATCCTGACTTGGGATGTGGAGTTCGTGAATGGGAAAAGCTTTAGTCTGTGGGATTCCATCTTTTTTCTCTTGAAAATCTATGGAAGTCACCGCAAAAATATTAAAGAATTTAATCAAACAGTAATTCAGGAATTGTAGAGCACCCAGTTGTGGTTTATAGTTTGTGTTTTATGGGGGGAACTTGAAGAAAACATTTTTATAAGGTGCATGATAAAGGAAAGCAAATTCAATAATTACATAGAGTTATGTAGTTTCTTAATTTATACGATCAAGGTGGAAATTTTCTGGTTGATTAAGCCTAAAAATAAAAACCTAGGAGTGGAGCCACCTCAGTCTAATTGCCTGCCATTTAATTATTTTCACATTCCACGGGGGACTGATTCTTCCCCTGCAACTTTCACATGTGTCTCAAGCAGGGTCTCAGGACTAATCCCCATTCCCCATTGTTTTATCCTATCTGGCTTGCAGTAAACGGCTAAATTTCTAGTTTCTTCTGACATTCCCAAATGTCAGCTTCCCTTCCGTAATTCACATTATCAGCTATTTGTCCTTTAGTGTACATTTTAGATACTGTATTTTAATTAATCATTTGTGACAAATCATTGGGTGGCACTTAAAAATTATTTGCTGTTTGAAAATATTTCCAGTGAGAAGAAAGCATATAATAATCCCCTGACACTATACTGTAAAAAATATCTGTGCCTCTTTTCCTATTATCGTCCCTGGGCACAGAGATCTTATAAGAATGTTTTTGGGGGTGTTGAACAATGAGAACACATGGACACAGGGAGGGGAGCACTACACACTGGGGTCAGTTGGGGGGAAATAGGGGAGGGAGGGTGGGGGGTGGGAAGCTGGGGAGAGATAGCAAGGGGAGAAATGCCAGATGTAGGTGATGGGGAGGAAGGCAGCAAATCACACTGCCATGTGTGTTCCTATGCAACAATTTTGCATGTTCTTCACATGTACCCCAAAACCTAAAATGCAATAAAATAAATAAATGGGAAAAAAAAAAAAGAATGTTTTTGGGTCAAAGTTTCCCTTTGGAAACTTTATGTGATGTGTCCTCAGCCACCCCTTGTGTTTTTTTTTTTTTTTTTTTTTTGGGACGGGGTTTCACTCATGTTGCCCAGGCTGGAGTGCAATGGCGCGATCTCGGCTCACCGCAACCTCCGCCTCCTGGGTTCAGGCAATTCTCCTGCCTCAGCCTCCTGAGTAGCTGGGATTACAGGCACGCACCACCATGCCCAGCTAATGTTTTGTATTTTTAATCGAGACAGGGTTTCACCATGTTGACCAGGATGGTCTCGATCTCTTGACCTCGTGATCCACCTGCCTCGGCCTCCCAAAGTGCTGGGATTACAGGCTTGAGCCACCGCGCGCGGCCCACCCCTTGGTTTTTTTCCCTTGTCCTGGGTTTCAGTACTTTCTAGGGATAAATCAAGATATTCACTGTGGCTTCGCATGCTAGAATGTCTAATGAATGTCAGCTCCTGGGCTGGAATGGAACTCTGGGTATCTGGGAATGGGATACGCAGGACAACCTGAGGTTGAAGGGGAGCCTCTCCGGGGAACAGGTGGATGCCCCGGGGCTGAGAGGAATCTCCTGGTGTACTTTTCCTTTGGAAAGCAAACCCGTGGAGGCATTAAGATTGTGCTCAGTCAGCCCAGCTTTCATTTCTCAGAGGTGCATTGCTAGTCACCCAATCAGACGCTGATATTGAGAGGAAAACACAGAAATAATTTCGGCCCTCTGGATTCGCTAATATTTGTTAAAGAAAAAATGGTATCCCAAAAGACAAAAATATCAAACCTGACCCCAGTGAGATGGTGCAAGAACTTGCAAAGTGAAATGCACCTGGGGCAGTCACTGAGGCATAAGGCAGTGTCTCCTGACAGGGTGGTTGTTGGGCACTTAAGTGAACAGGATAGGGTGGGAGAATCAGGAGACTGAGTTGCCTGACTTGACACATGAGACAGACACATCTGCTTTCTAGTCAGCACCACCTCATGTTGAAAAGATTTATTCACTTATTTTCCTTTGAGTTTTTTTAACTGTAACTTGGATTTTATTAGTAGGATTTAAAAAGTAGGAAAATATTTACAAAGGGCATAAAAGAGGTGAGTTTCAGAAAAAAAAATTAGCTAATTATGTATTCCATTTGTTAAGAATTCTCATTTACCTTTTTTTTTCCCAGACTGAGATTAGGAGTTTTCTCAGGTGTGTTTTTTATAGCTGGGTGATGTCCAACAGAATTCCAAGGCTTAGTTTTTAGAAACTAAGGGGAACAGATAGGAAAAAAATGCTTCTTTCATTTTGGCTGTAGAAAATGAATATATTTTCACAAGAAAATGTGGTAGATAATTGATGAGTTACATAGATTTATGAAAACATCAGTTCCTCTTTTTGCTGGGTACATTTGTTACAGTGAATACCTCTATTCTGTATCCTATCATCTTGATTTCTGAGGTTAATGCTAAATTTTATGTGATGAAAATTGGTACCTCCTAGAAGTGTTCCCATATGACTGATTGTTTACTACACAAATTTTAAAGAAAATAATACATTTATTGTCTGAAAGGAATAAATACTTTCGCATTTCTTATTGAAGTGTGAAATGTAAGCACCTTAAAGTTTCCTTCCCCTGGCTGGGCGCAGTGGTTCATGCCTATAATCCCAGCACTTTGGGAGGCCGAGGTGGGTGGATCACCTGAGGTCAGGAGTTCAAGACCAGCCTGGCTAACGTGGTGAAACCCTGTCTCTACTAAAAAACTAGCCAGGCATGATGGCAGGCGCCTGTAATCCTAGCTACTTAGGAGGCTGAGGCAGGAGGCAGAATTGCTTGATCCTGGGAGGCAGAGGTTGCTGAGAGCTGAGATTGCACCACTGTACTCTAGCCTGGGCAACAGAGCAAGACTCCATATTAAAAAAAAATTCCTTCCTGTATATAAACACTGTGCTTAATTTTACTGAATTTTTTAAAAGAGTTTCAAAACCTAAGTGAATAACTTTGACATGGATATTACAGCTTGTGCCCAGTGACTCCAAACTAAGGCTGATATTGAGCCAAAAAGGGAAGGGAGGTTATTAAAGGGCCAGCTAGTTCTTTGTAGGAAGCCTCCCCTGCTCACCCCAGGCATGGAAGAAGCCTTTATTTTGAGAAAAGATACAGAGCCCTAGACATCGGGCGACCCACAGGCAGATGCAGTTAACCTTAAGAGGTAAGGGGATTGGGAGAGTCTTTCTAAAGATGAAGTTATTGTTTTGAGGCAGTTTTTTTTTTAAATTATTTTTTGTAAAAAGAGAATTAAGTTTCTGTAAAAAAAAATTTTTGTTTGAATTTTAAAGAAGTATTGCAACAGAAGGAAGTACCAACTGTAAGATCTTTAAGAATTGCAAAGTTTAGGTAGACAAAGGCTTTTTTTTTCTTAGGGAGGAGCAGAGAAGGTTAGAAAAAAGGTCACCGGGGAATGGCAAATGGAGAGTGAAAAAATCAAATATTAGATTATAAAATGTTTTATCTTCAAGTCATCAGGTTCTTAGGAGGGGCATAAAATGGGGTTGTATGTTGGCTCAGACTGAGGGTAGCTCAAAGTTCAGCACCCTGTGGGAAGGAGCTAAACTTAAGTGAAGATTGATTAAGAAGAATTTTATTTTGACCACTGAAGAAAAATTCAGCTAATTTTTTAATATGAAAAAGAAGAAAATGTGCAGAGTGAGTGTTTGGTTATGGAATAGTTAAGGAAAGAGAGCAGCATCTAAGTCATGATGGGAAAGGAGTTTCTTTTTATAAAATGTTCCTGGAGAACACAGAGGATGGGAAGTTTTATTAGTCAGAGCTATTTACCAGGATTGTCTATGTGCTTCATCTTTTCCCACATCTTTTTTTTTTGTTCTATACATTTCTTCCATTTGCATTTTCCTGGGTTGTATCTTGTCTAATAAACTGGTCAACAAAACTACAGTGTTTTGCAGAGTTCTGTGAGTAACTCTATCACATTATTGAACTTGAGGCAGTTTATGGGCATTCTGAATTTTCAAACAGTAGCTCAGAAGCACAGATTGGCCCATATGGTTTGTGACTGGCATCTGCAGTGAGGACAGTGTTGTGGGACTGAGCCCTGATCAGTGCTGACTCTGAGTGGGGTCAGAATTCAAATGGTAGACAGCGTGTCAGTTTTGGAGAATTGTTTGGTGTTTAGCAGACTTTACAGATTTGATACCAGAAGAAAGATGTCAGAGGCCTGGCCTGGAATGGAACTCTGGGTGTCTGGGAATGGGAGGCTCTGCTCTCCTATACACAGGCGTCACACTGCCCATTGTCCTGTGATTCCAGGTCTCCTTCCACGGTGAGAGAGGACTGAAAACTTAGAAGGAAGGAGCTCTGATGATAGACCCCCTTTTCTCGCAGCTGCCGTTGCACCCACTCACAGACATACCCTCTAGACATTGATGTGTACACACCCCTTCCAAGACCAGGCACCACCTTCAGGAATTTCACCACCGCATTTTTTATTCTAGTGTTTCTTGCTAAAAGCCCACACAACTGTC